CTTGTACTGAGCACTTCTGCCTGACTTACTTAGATTTATCATTTGCTCGGCTCCCATTGGCATGGGAAGAAATAGCACGTGTGTTATGGATAAAGACTGGCAAAGTCTTTAAAACAGTAGGTGAACGAAATGGCTGTTTTCAGCCTGAGTTTTCCTTGATAAATCCATTTACTGAATGCACCTAAAGCAAGAAGAGAACGATGTTACTGCTGATAAAAGCAGCCTGTGGAGGAACCTCACTGAAGCTGCGAGAGGAAATTAGTCTTTATGCTATTTCAGGTTTACATCTTTCGTAAGAACAGTCTGATCGTTATCCCAGATAATGAAGACTGTTAATGTAATTAAGTGCTCTGTTGTGGTGTTTTACAAAGCAAAGAAATAAGTTCCGGAATTAATAAGCTGCAAGGTTAAGTGACACAGGGCAAAAACAGGACTCTTCATGTGGATGTAAGTGCTCCACAGCAAGTAATTAGCTGGGATTTAAAAGTACGATTTCTAATTTAGGACACACAGAAGATTTTCTGATTTGAGGTATGTGTAATCTCCAAAAGGTCAGATCAATTTTAAGATTATGACCCGCTGTATATTATCAATGATGTGAGAAATTGGGTCCTTCTCTAACCGCTCAACACAGGAGGCCAGGACCAATTGCCTTGCTCTTCTTCCTGGGCACTATAGTCGGCTGGTATTTCCAAACATGCCTAGATAATTAGTAAAGACAACAGAGACTGAAAGAACAGAACAAAAAAACCCCAAACCTGTAAAGACTAGAAATTGCAAAGGAGACCACACTGCAGGAATGTAATTTCCTTGCAAAGAAATGAGGCATTTGAGTAACAGTTTTCTTAGCAAACACCCATGTTTCTAGCAGGTTACTTGCTGATTTGCACCAGGGGTTAAGACACAGTACAACCCAAAACTTGCTGTGGTTTCAGCCTGAACGCACACAGGTGCTTTCCAAGGGCCAGAACACAGACCTGAGGATTAGTACAACCCAAATTTTAATCCTGAACATGCCGCTGGGTCAGCCTGCGCAGCCTGACAAGGCAGCCAGCCCAGAGGAAGAGTTCTATGCTGCCCCACGAGGCAGCCCTGTTTCCAGTCCCTGTCCCTCTGCCACAGGCTCTCACTACTTCTCTTGCGCTGGGATTTGCATTTGCCATAAAACCTGCAGAAAGCTAACGCCACCCCACCGAAAATAACGAGTTTTCTACCAGCGTAGCTATCTGATCTGGCTCACGGTCAGGGAAGCATGGCCATCACCGCGACGGCAGAGCTGGGAGGGTTAAGAGGGCGGCGGCAGCCCCAACCATGGTCATGGCCGTGCCAGGGTTTTGAAAATGCTGCCGAGCAGCTGATGTGCTTCATGGGAAGGTGGTTAAAAAATCAGATATTCACAATGAAATAAAGGCAAAACATTTTAACTACATGATGGGCTGGTGGTTTTCTCGCGCAAAGGCATTTTAAGCTCACTTTGACAATTTGGAAATGATATAAGATTTTAAAACTGAAGCTTCTCTCCTGTTCTCTGCAAACTCATTTGTCTCTGATGAGAATAACAATGCAGCTCTCTTGCTGTCTACTTCTTGCGCTAACCAGTGAACATACTTCCAAAGGAAATGGTAAAACAGAAACACTTTCATTTCATACCGGGGAAAAAACCTCAAATACACTCTTGTGTCATTTGCCTAAATCTTGTTTGGACAGCTTGCACGGTTCACAATCTTGCTGTTATCACTACCTCCTCTGAATTAGAGAGAGCAGGAAGATAAATACAATACTGCAATATGCAGCTCGATACCGAAGAAGATCACCCTGCTGTGACGTGCCCCACACTTCAGCTCTAACATGACAATACGATTATCTAAAGTTTGAGGAGACTGAACAGCCTGTAATGTATTAACACACTTTTCATTTTGGAGATAGTGTCAGGAGCTGAAAAACAACTCCAATTCATTGTGCCGCTTTGGTTATTTCCCCTCCAATACGGGGTGTTCTCTCCCCTCTGATCCCCCCACCAGATCTGTGGGAGCGGCAACACGCTCGCCCTGCACAGGCAGAGCAACGCCAACAGGAACCGAGCGCCGGGCTCCAGATCTGGGAAGAAAAGCCCAGAGAGGCACTTTTCCTGCAGCTTCAAATATTAACACTATAAAAGGCAACTGGCAGCAACTCCTATCTTTAAGTTTCTCAAAGGAGCTTTGAGATCATTTTAAGAAGCTCGCTGCCTGTAGACATTAGACAGCCAGAACGGAGAACAGTCTCTGGCTGCAGAAGTGCTTTTTCTTTCCTCCAAGCCTACGTTTACCACAGCGAGGACAGGGAGAGATGCAGAACTCGGGGTTTTATTTAGGTGTCTTTTATCCTTTACCTGACCCAGCTACAAGCCTGCAGCCTGGCTACAAGCTTCAGCTTCTCCTGAAACCAGTCAGGCTTTTGCTTCTGTGGCTGACTGCTGAATTGGCAAAAGCTACCTTTGCAAAACCACTTTTGCCAGAACACCTTTTTGTGTTTGCATTAAGGAGGCAAAAATGCACATAAAGCTTTTTCCAATGGTATCTTGGTCTATTGGAACAGACATTACAAAGTGATAAAATAAACTACCATTTCCTCAGTGTTTTAGCTCTCCAGTGCGAGAGCTGAATTTGCTCCTCCTGAAGGAACTCAACGGTAAGTGGGTAAGCGTGAGGAGAAAAGCAGCGATGCCCGTTTCAGCTCCTCTGTAAGCCACAGGATGTGCAGAACTATAAAAAAGTGTTGAAAAAGAGAGATGGAAAAGGCATTCCTACAAGGATTGAAAGGATTCCCGGAAAGAAGAAGAGCAATTAACACACACATGGAAAAACTCCTCAGCTACGATGGCGTTACTAACTTCTTATTTTGTCTTTGGTCACTGGAAGTATCTTTACAGGGAGCATTAGAAAAAGGAAATACCTGGAAAGACTAAAACCCACATGTAGCTGTTCCCTCCCACTTAGCATGCTTGTTAACCCCACAGGTCTTGCTGAAGTGAAAAGACAAATACAAGAAAGAAAAGGTGATGGTAGCGCACACACTTAATTATAAACGAGTACTTGACATTTCTCTTAGTTACAGAAAAGTTTTAGGACGCTGGTGACTCCCTTAATCCTTGCCTGGCTTCAGAAACCCTTGTCATAGGTCAAGGTCAGGACAAGGTTAGTGCCTTAATAAAAGAGGGAATATGGCATCTCTAATGATTGCTTCTGGCTGTTTTTCTCCTTACCTATAATAATGCCACAGCAAGCGTTTGCTTTCTTAAAGCGATGCAGAGCTCTTTGCTTTATCTGCTGACAGACCCTTACTGCCCACCCCGGGGCACAGCCAGGGACCTGATGGTGGACCTGCAAGATGGATATTCCATGCTGAAGACCACAAATTTAGGCCTGTCTTCACAGGGAAGCTCAGTGAAGGTGGAAGAATCCTGTTAGCATGGAATTGCATAGTACCTGAGATAACCTACTATTTATTTTAATGTTACCCACCTGAGGGAGGCTCTACTAATGAATCTATTTTTGTAGTACCATAAGGGTTGAAGTTTAGACCTAAGTTTAGAGCAGAGACATATAAAAAATGTCAAACCAGGAAATAGCTTAATGAAAGCAGAGAGTAATCACAGCAAATTACAGTGAAATTTCTATGGGATTACATTTTGCATTCCCCAAACAAGCGGGGGAATTCATCTCACTTAGCGTTGTTCCATTTTGCTGAGAATTCACTGTAGGGATATGCTATGTAAGTAACATAGTGCAATGCCATAAAAGCTGTCTTAAAAATTACAGTCTAAGAGGATTTTCAGAATGGAGTTCAGATTTCTTCCCCTTGCAGTCCATGGAAAAATAGCAAGATATGCTGCAAAATTTCAGAGAAAAAAAAATAATGGTAATATTAGGAGGAATACAAAGCACATGTTTTATTTTGTGGCTACTAATAATGAGGTCCCTTTCTAAACTCCAACATTTAGAAACCAACCAGCAGTGGATGTGATAGGGAAATCCACCCCAGGAGAAGAAAGCTGCTATTCCCAGTGTGCTTCCAAAAATCACTGCAGAATTTAATCTCTCCCCACTGGCAAACCCAGGTCAGCTTTCCACACCCGTGCTGGATCGATAGGTTGAAAGGGCAGTGTGTACGTAGGGGCCGTGCTCCCATGCACCCCAGCTGGAGAGGCAGAGATGCTCTGAACGGCCACCCAGGCAGTACCTGGATGAGAGGTATTGCTAGGCACAATGCTAATGCTGTCACCGTAGCAAATCCACACTTACCGGTTGGTACAGTGCCTAAAGCAAATTCTGAGCCTACTCGTTTAAAATCAAATCATCTCATGGGCTGGCTTTCCACAGGTCACTAGATCTCAAACTACTTTTGAACTGAAAACCAGCTTTCCCTTGCGGCGTAAAATATTTTTGAGTCACTGTGCAAGACACAAGGTAAGAGTTGCAATGACAAGCTTGGCCTTCAACAAAGATCAGCTCAAACGCAGGGTTACAATTAAAGAACAAGCTCCCAGGCGCAGCGGGGTCACCACCTCATGCTCCAGACCATGCCCAGCGGTGGTCGTGGTCATGGACCAGGTGGTCCATGGACCAAGTAACGGGTTACCTCCCAGGCTGGAAGTAGAAGGGAGACATCTCATATGCATGAACAGGAGACATAGCAGCAGGGGAGCGTGAGGCTGGTGTCAGTTTTTGTGACTCATGTCCCATGCCTGAACTTGACAAATCATGAGGTTTTTGATCTCCCAGGGAAGTCTTTGCTAATTGGCATACAGAAGTGAAGACTCAGGGGACCTTCTAGTTTTTGGGTTTTTTTTTTAAAGCATAAAAATTGGCATGTTAAGAAAAGAAAGGTCTTCACGGAAAGCTAAATCAAAACCCAGAACCTCATTTAGCCTCTCCACTTCCAGACAAGGCTGAATTCAGCAACAAAGAGCAAGCGAGAAAGAGAGAGCTTAGAAATGAAAATAAGAATGTTTTCATTACCTTTTCTGCAAGCCAGCCTAGATGCCTAATCTCTCGACTTCCAGCAATCCCTGTTTTACCCAGCTGGTCTCTGACCTCTGCAATCACCCTGGGGATGAGCTCATTGACACTGGAGTGGATGGCATTGAACCAGGCCTGGGCTGTAGCCGAATCCTTACTCCTGAGCACCACGGTGTGCTTGGCATCAGGTGAATGAACTTCAATAAGTCTAGAAAAATGGGGGAGGGGGAAAACGTTATGTTCATTCAGATACCATTAGGCAGCTAAATTTATTACCTCACTTAGTGTTAGCAATGAGCTAAAAAGGAGGATACTACTATCAAGACCTAGCACTAAAAACTTACCTTTACAACACCTGAATAGAGTAGCATCATCTTAACCGAAGCCAGGTCTGTACTGGCATTATGGTAAAGTCCTTGAGAAGGGGATTTGCTAGTGCTGTTGCAACCCCACATCTAGCTTGTCAATAGGAGTTTCAGATATAAAGGCAAGAGAAGCATTCACACATTAACATCCACCAACACGGCAACCACCCAGAACTGCCCGGGAGAGAAGCCGGGAATTAGCTGCTGCCTTCCTTAGCTCAGAGTTTCTCAATGGGTTTATTCTACACATACAGAGCTAAATGAAGACCACCCTCATCCCAAATGAGGAGTTTTGCACTGTGCTTTCAGTGACACCACTAAGCATCAACCAGAAGCCCAGCATAACTGGCCTTCTCCAGGAGTTAGCAATATCCTCAGTGCTCCGTTTAGATCCTGCTAACAGCATCAGCAAGAAAGTACTAACTGCCACCCTATGACTGCTGCTGGCAGGCATCTTTTACAGTTTTCCAAACTCCTGTGGACAGAATTATTATTTTTTTTCCCCAAACACATGCTTACTAGACGATCCTGTGGGCTCCCACCCCACCACTGTGGCTTGAAAAGCACACACGAACACAGCTTTCAGGAAAATGAATCCTGTCCATTGTGGTTATGGGACCTGTACCAACACCTTTGCTAACAACCACAATGAAACAAAAATCCTTTGAGAGGCAGCTGCAGTTATTTCAGCCTTGTTCTCAGTGAAGTTATTAGTGGGGTTTCGTGTGTTCTTTATAGCTTCGCAGGCCAGTTTAACTCAAACATTTGTTAAATAACCCACTAAGTAACAGTCTGGTTTATCATTTAGTGATTATAAAACCAAGCCCTGGTCATTGCGCATCACTCAACTCCATATCACATTTGTGCTTTTTCATTATACGCGTGCCGTGACTGCCCCTGAATGTTACCCACACAAATTCGACCTGAGCCTAAGCACGTACTTCTGTCCTGTGTGTCACTGCCCAATCTCTGGGCCACACAACGACTCCTTTCTGTAGCAGAAAAGTAATTAGTTCAGTGGAATTTATTCAGGTTGAGGTTCAAGACAGTACTGTAATACAAATATTTGTTATGCAATTACAAAATCCTGCAATTTGGAGCTTAACTAACAATTAAGAGATTTTCATTAATTGGTTAAACCAGAGCAGAATCCAGAACAGAGGGTGACTTGATTTGTGCAGCTCTCTGGGGCTGGGAGAGCGAGGACCGCTGGTCTCGTGTTTGTCCATTTTGGAAAGGGGAGGTCTCCACGTAGACACTGCTCTAAAGATAGAAAAGGTCATGATTTTCCAAACTCAGCAGCTGAACTGTTCAGGGTCCTAAATCACTGTTTGGATAGCTTAAAAAGTGGGTTGATTTTTCAGAAAGCGTGGAGCCAACACAGTAACACATGTTTCCTCAATAAAGCTGCTGGAGCTCAGCACTGTCTGAAAATAAAGGCTCTTATTTAGCTGCTCCAGGATGCACCAAGGATTCAACCTCAGGTACCGAAAGAAAAATTCCCAGTCAGATGATGTAGATCTGGTGAATAAGAATATTATGTTTGTAGATAGGCACGTTCCCAATCATGCTTTAATTTTTTCTGAACTGCCAGAAAAAGATGTGTCCCTGACAGTTATGATTTAGACATTTGTGTCCAATGATCATTACAATCACGCACAGCTACCACACCCTGGTCAGTCTTTCCATCAGAAACACTGCTCTCTCACGGCCATATGAACTTGAGTTTTAACTTGTTCTTGTAGGCAGCTGCCAATGGGAACAAACCATATAGGCTTAGATTTTCAAAGTACACTGTGGTAATTGGTGAAAAGTTGGTTATTAATTACAGAGCACTTTTTGGCATGAGGTCTCACGGCACTTCACAAATGAGGTCAGTGACAGCATCCCTGTTTCACCACCAAGAATGGGGGAAGGTGCAGAACCCAGATGAGGGAGGGAACAAGTCAGGAGCAGCACTCAGGATTTTCCGCACTCTACTTCCCATTTTAATCCTTCTTTTAAAGACAAAAATTATTTGAACAGCATTGTTTTTGAAAAATGTTAATGCACTGTATGGATTGTGTGAAACGATGCTCTTTACAGAGCCTGTGGTTTCTATTAAGGGAACTCTTACCTCCAAAGTCCCTGCAAATCATGCCATAAACAAAGCTCCGACCAAGGACTATAAAGACACAGAGGAACATGCTGTTTTTTCAGTTGCAAAGGAACGGTAGCAAACTTGTGTCATTTCATTTTAAGTTAGAGTTGTAGCAGGCTTTGGTTTAAAAATAAATTATCTAGAACAAAAAGAGCTTCCAAGAGCTTTAAATTCTTACTTAAAGCAAGTGGATTAACATACAAACAAGTATTTTGCTACTTAGGCGTTCACCAAGGTGTATTTCCCTTGATGGTGGCTATTTAGATATTTCTACAAGAGTTCTGTCCCCTAAAATAATGAACATTTAGATAGCTCTTAACAACTCTGTTTAAGGGGTTCTAAGCTATGCATATTCTAATATATACACATTCTACTGGAATATTAATATATGTATTCTAGTATACCTATACACACACATACTGCAAATATACTCTTAAAATATCATCCCCCAGTGACTTCTAATGGGGCTCTTTTGGGGACTGCTTGTTGGTCATCAAAGTTTGATGGTGATGCACTAACAACCACAGAAAGTGTACCTCGTTTTCTGAGCTGAGTGACAGGAATATTGGACAATACATGCTACACTTCTCAAAAGTCAGTTCAAAATGGGAATAAATGCTGCATTGACTGCCCTGAAACAGAATTCTTTTATCCACTGCACCGGTCCAGCCCAAGGAATACATCTGCAAGCATTGTTCCTGTGCAAGCTGCTATGTAGGGTACTTTTTTTATTCATACCTTAAGGACAAAAGTCTAAATCTTCAACTGCCTGAACTCTGCTACTGGCTATTTGCTATAAGATCTGGGCACTAAACTATCTTTAAGAAATTGGGCTTATAGATTCCTGTTGAAGATCCAGGACTCCCACCTCTGCAGTCAATTGGGATACTAACAGAAACCTACAATCTTCCTGGAAACCCATGGGCTCTGACCACAATCAGATGCGGAAAGCGCTGCATCCCCATAAACTCCCCTTTCCTGCCTTTCTGCCTACGCTGCTTTGATTCACCAGTCAATTTGGATACTGCTTTTTGTGTAACAGCTGACTGATGCATTTCCATATTTTTTGAAAAGCAAAAAAATACCAGTGACCTTCGTAAACTCCAACACTAAAGCAGTTAAATGTTTCCAGCAGTCCAGCCATTGTAGCTTTGATTTGTTCCTCGGCTAAACTGACCACCGCTTACTGACTTCTGTTTATCTGCAGTTCAGTGATAAAGTTCCCTTAATTCCCCACTGAACTGAAATATTTAGGGCAATGCCACAGCTGTGTTTATTCTCACACTCCAACACAGTTATGTAAATACTGCATATGGAGCTGTTTCTGATAAAGCCCATACCAACCCAAAGGAATTGTATGTTAGCTCTAGATGGCTGCCAAGATGCGCGGCATCTCTCCAGCTTGGCAACGTGTATGAATGATATCACATTTTCTCAGAGATCATTTGGCAAACCTTACAATAAAAGAGTAATTTTCTCTCTCCTTCTCACAGAGTCCCACTGAGCCGAGGAGTGTTTCCAGCATCCCCTTCTCCACCCACAGAACACGGGGGTGATGCAAAACCCTGCACCTCCAAATGCTATGACCTTGCACGTAAGAGGCCAAAACTCCTCCCTCACTGCGTCATCCAGAGCTTTTACGTTACAGGGGATCAGAAGAAGTTAAAAGCAAATGTTTGACAGAGCATACTTATTCCCCATTTGATAAGGCCTCTTTCTGGAGGAGTGTTCATTATCTAAGAAATACCTTTTATCAAATCCCTTGAAAGCACTTCTCCCACCAGCACTGGCTCAGGACCAAATCAGGCACTGATTTACACTTTGTGCCTTTTCCCGGGTCAGATTATGTATTCAGTGACTGATTAAGGTGCGGAGTAAATCCTTTGAAGTTAATGATAAACTGGAGCCAGAGTTAATTAAGTCCATCAGACTACTTTGATTTTGCGCCGGCATAGGCAGGAACAAAACACTCTGCCACTGACTCTGCAAACTTAAAAAGGGCCAAACTGGTCACTCCATCTCCTCCATCATTGTCTGCATGTGAAACCACAGCAAGTAATTTTGTTGATTTCTCAGTGTAAAAACACAGGAACCTTTCCAGCATAAGAGGGGATTTAGGGGAACACAGTCAGAGATTTAAATAGTTGTAGGTCTTGTTATAAAATGAGTAAAACAACTAAAAAACCCTGCTAAGGCTCTTTTTCAATACTAACTGCAGCATCAGGAGATGCACCAGGAATAAAATACGTTACAATTAAGCAATGGAAACTTTGGGTTTAGTCTGCAAGGAAAATACCCCATACAGAGACTGTTAGGCTTGCAACAAATTCCCCAGCATACACTGAAGAAGCATCTTCATTTGACGCACCTAAATAGAGGTGAAAGCAATTTTACCAAGTGAGAGCTATTTGGTAATCAAGTGGAATTTTTCTATGTGAAAGTCTCTCGGTCCCCTCGCTGTCACAAGGGTACTCGCTGTATTAACAGTTACTTGCTGAGTTTCATCTTAGAGTGGTAAAAACCAATGTAGTTACTCGTTTCTTGGGAGCTGGACCAGACTGATGTCCATACAGAGGGTGTATGTATCACTAATGAGCTGTCACAGTTGAGTTCATTTCTATTTGCCACCAGCTGGGCTTTGATAAAAGGGCTATCAGTAGAGTTGTGCCACGTGCACGTAACGAAAGGATCTGGTTCTGTAAG